TCATTTTTTCACTTATGAACACAGCCCATGTTTGTTTGTCTTACGATGTTTTTTACCCTATTGTATTTTCTCCTTAAAGTGTTTTGCATATCTCATTAGTTTTATTCCTACTTAATAGGTTTGGTGGCTATATATAAATAGGACTTCTCTGAGATTTAATCAAATTCAATGTTGCTGAAACAAGAATGCTACTGATTTTTGCCTGATCTTAGATCCAGAAAATTTAAACTCTTTTGTCCAACAATTGTATTATGTTGCCAGCAAATAAGAATAACTTTTTTCTGTTAAATTGAAATTGATATTGAGGACCACCAAATGATACTGAAGCACCTACTTTTAAAACATTTTACTGTGAGATTATGAAGCTCTCTCTATAAAATATACGATAGATATCAACCAAGGAGTTCTCTCAAAACTCTTATATTAGTATTCAAATCTCTATAGGAAACAGCGTTGGTAGGAATGCCTACTGAAAATCAGGCACTAGGCTAGGAAGTTTTATATTTAATCTTCATCTCAAGGCAAGTTAGGTGAGAAAACTGAGTCTCAGGGAGCTTAAGTGACTTGACCAAGTGACTGAAGGGATGGAGCTGGGATTCAAATCCCAAATTTGTCTAGCTCCAAATTTATGCCCTTTTTACTATAGTATACCATAAGACAGGCTATAAAAGCATACTCAAGCATATACCTTAAACATTTTACACAGGGATATTCTGGCTCACCCTGCTCTATTAATAATAACAGCTATTAATAATATATATAGGAAATACCAATATAATAGCAACAATCCTTTTGGAAAGAAAATTTTCACTATTTCATACTCGTTCATGCAATATGCATCTTAAGATTCAACAATATGGTTAGCTGTTGCGGCAAAAAATTTTTTTTTATAAAGCCAGTACATTTCCATTACCTAGGTTTGTTTCAAAACCTGTTCACCTGGTTTTTTCACCTTCTCAGCTAGTAATTAATCCTTTTCTACCTTACTAGTGTTACTTTTATTCTTTCCTTCAAGACATAATATGCTTAACACTACATTCAAATAAGAAGTAAAAAAGGAAAAAAGAAAACTCATTGGTTAATCAGCCTACCTACCTGTTAGCCTACCCAAGTTATCTTAATGATGTGAAGAGATTCTTATACTTTAGGAACAGATGTCCCTAAGATATCTCAAAATCATTAAACAAGATGCCTTCTTTTGACTAGCAGATACTTAATTTAAATGTCCAGCAACAGTCAAAATCCACTTACTGATAAATTCAAGATTTTCCTGAAGAATAAGGGAAACTGGCTATTTAAAACTCTCAAAGATGGCTGCAAAGATTTCAAAGAAAAAAATATAATAAAACTCTCAAAGAAATGGTTATACCCTATTGTAGAATAAAATGGGATTTTTAAAAGTTATTTTTAAAATTACTTATGCTTATAATGTACATGCCACAAATCCTCTTCAAAAACTGAAGAACTCCTATGAGAACTTCTGTGTCATTGTCCATGAAGGAGTGGGAAAAAAAAATGATCCTATGAAATTAATAGAAAATGTTTTTCCACTGAGATTTTTTTCCTCAAATTTTTTGCTCCCCTAAAGTCCTTACAACTGTCAGAATAGTTCTGTTCCTAAGATTATAAAATAAAATTTTGTCTAAATTCGTGTATCTTCTCAAACAAAAAAGTACTCTACTGAAGTAGGTCACCTACCCAACCAAGTTTCCTTTCTGCCATGAAGCCATCCCTGCATTTTCACCATGCCTGAGATCTGCTTTGTCCTGTGCACCCACAAATTAACATTCTAACAGAAACATACGCACGTAAATATACATACAAATGAATACTTCAAAAAAATTTTTTTTCTGAGGGAGAGAAAAGTCCACGGAAAGTCAGAAAACAAAAAGATTATATTTTCAAGAGCGGTATATGGCATAATGGGCTTATTTACTTGCCTTAAAAAAAAACAAAAAACAAAAAACAAATACACATAAAACTGGAAGAAAAACATTCAGTAGCTCATAGAACTTACAGCACAAGGACTGACTAAATGCGTACCACAAAAATGTTTAATATGCATTATTACAAATGAAAAACTAAATCTGAAGTTATTAGAACTTTATAAAATCTCTTTATTAGAGATCTTTATAACATCTATTAAAGAATATCTTTAGTGGCCATTATGAATCTCAAATATTAACAAGCCAAAAAGAAGTCTAAATAAATTTAATCGAATACCTTACATACCCTGTAACCAGAAAAACTAAGAACCAGAATTAAATTCAGGTGTATGGTATTTACTTCCAGTTATCTGTATTTATCAACAAATGTAGCAATTTTCAATCACATCATCCACATATAAATATAGGTGTGTATGCAGGGGATTGGTTCCAGGACTCCCATGTGTACAAAAATCCACACATATTCAAGCCTACAAGTAGGCCGAGTGGAAATCGCCTGCACAAAAAGTTGGCCCTCCATATATTTGGGTTTTACATTCCGCCAATAATGTATTTTCTATCCACATTTGGTTGAAAAAAAAAAAAGATCACATGTAAATGTTCAAGGGTCAACTGTGCTTAGAATTTCCCTCAGTTTGAGATCTTTCAAATTAGAAAAAAAATTAGCCGAGTAGGCCTTGGTCTTCCACCTCTAAAAATTCCATTATAATTATTTCTGGACAGGAAGAAAAATTAGCATAATCACTGTATTTTTTGCATGTGTTTTTGTTATTAACCTTATTTATTCATCTTCCTCAAGCCAAAGTTTTAGCATTACTGGGCCTGATATCCTGCCATTAACTGCAAACAATTTTCATGTACTATGTTTATACATAACGACAGAGCACTTTAATTAGTTTTGGCAATATATGCATAAGTGAGTAATGGCAAAAGACTAGTCTTTTCTCTAATTTCGTAAGTTAGACTGTTGTTATAGTTTATTGAAACTTTGAGATTCCAGGCCAAAAAAATATTAGGTACAGAAATTCTGTGTAACAGTTTCCTGTATTAGGATAAAACACTTATATGTAAATATTTTATCAAAAATCAAGTACCTTTAAATTGATATTTCCCCCATTCATTTCCATCTGTAAGTCTGCATTTAGAAAAAATACTTCAAAAATGCCAAAGGACAAACCCACTTTTCAGTAAATAAATAGTTAATAATCAAACAAATCTACCACTCAGCCCATACTAAAAAAACAGAAAAATACTGTATAAAACAAGCAAAATGTTTAATGATTAAATACACCCTTTTCTAGAACACATAGTACTTGCTAGCAGATTTATGGCACAGATGCTGATTATCTACCTCCTTTCCCAGAAAAGGAAAATGGTTTGATTTTTTTCTCTCCCTTTCCAAAAATTAATAGCCCTAGAAGGTTTAGCAGAGTAGCTGAAACTTCGTTAGCTGTCTAATTATCACAAATTGTAAGCAAAGGATTTGTTGATGTTTGAAAAGCCCCAAGATTTTGCTTTAACAATTTGTCACCTCAGTCCTTTTATCTGGAAATGCAGGCCTCAAGAAAAAAGATTTGAAAAATGCCATCTATGTTTAAGGCATTCAACAATTAGTAAAATGCCAATTTCATCAATATAATGCACATTTTACATTTTAACATCTCTTAAAAATCAATGGGGTCTTAAGCATTTTGTCTTATTTTAATTGGCGACAACTTTTTTTAGCAGTACATAAAATGATGGTACCTCTTACAACAAATTGTATGTTAGGATTCCATGAAATACAGCAACTTTGTCTCTCAGAATTACAATTCTCAGGCCAAAAAGTGAATTAGCCCAGTGTCTCATTTTACAGATGAGGAAAATGAAAACCCAATATATGATGTCTTCAACGTCACAAAACCAAGAGCAAAAACAGACTCAACTCCGGTATTCTGGCTCCCAATGATGCCCTTTCCATTACACAATCTGCCTCCTGAAGGAAATCAGATGAAAAAAAACTACCTGGGTTTAACCAATAGCTAACACATCTAATACAGATATCTAATAGATATTAAAAGCAGATCACTCAGGACTCTGTGTGCTTATGGCTTGTCTCAGACTGACTCAAAAGTAACGACGACAATTTAAAAAATCCAGGTATTTTTGTGCGTGCGTGTATGTTTGTCTTTGGTAAGATGTATAATGAACTATACAGACACTTCGGAAATGAGAGCTTCCCTTAAGACAGAGACTCCACACAGTGCATTACAATGACTCAGTACAATCTCACGTGCATTTTCTTTTCCTAGGAGAGGAGAGAGCCCAAGGAGAATTACTGGCCTACCTGGAGCCTAAACTCAATAGCTAAAACAAGGCTGTGCACTCATTTATCAACACTAGAAACTTCGCACATCTTTTGCAGTCTAGCAACTACACCATTCACAGGTGGTTGGTATGTTAACATCCCTCCCTGTACGGAAAACTAAAGGAACCCGAAGAAACGCAGTGACACCCGCAGTTAGTTTGTAGGAGTCACAGCGGAGGACCAGGGGAAGCCACAAGACAGAGGAAAAGGTAACCGAGACAAAACACGTTATCTGGGCTTAGGGGGCTGGAGCACCAGGAGAAGACGAAAACAGACGTCGCAGAAGAGGCCGGTGGGCTGCGACTCGGCACTCCCCGCGAGGTCCTCTCGCCCACCCTCTCCATTCCCCCAAGCGGGAGGAAGACAGAGGTGGGAGGTGGACGGGCGGAGGCGGGGACTGGGGGCCAGCCGGGCGGCGGTAGCGGCTCAGCTCCGCAGCCGCGGGAGGCCATTTTAGCTCTAGGGCCGCCAAAGGCCCCCGCGGCCCTCGGCGTCCCTAAACCTAGGCCGTCTCTACCTCCCCGCCCCCACGGGGGGCCGCTACGGGCGGGGCGGGAGAGGCCGTGGGGCCCGGCCTGCAGCGGACAGGGGATCCGGGCCGCCGGGTGGGGGCCGGCGCGGGGGCGGACGCCGGGGGCGTCGCGACGGCGGGATCCCGGCCGAGGGGCGAGCAGAGGAAGAGAAGGGAGAGAGCGGGGAGCCGTTACCTATACTGGGCCGCAGCCGCCGCCGCCGCCGCCCCGCTGTGGGTGAATCCAAAGTAGTTGCCGGTCGCCATTTTGGCATCTTCCCCCAGCCGGCTGGGCACTGCGGCGGGCACGCAGAGTCAGGTCCCATGGCGGGAGGAGAGACGTGGAGGGGACGGGACGCCGAGGGAAGGCAGGGGGAGAGAGAGAGAGAGAGGCGCCGTGAGAAGCCGCCCAGGCAGGGCCCGGGCCGCGGCCGCGCCGCCTCCCCCCTCCCGCTTCGCACTCCCTCACTCACTCGCACGCCCCGGTGGCGGCCGCCGCCTCCTCCCCGGAGCCAGCCCCAACCCCCGCGCCTGCCCGCTGCCCCGGGCCGGGGAAGGGGCCAGGCAGAGGCCCCGCGGGCCACATTAGACTCACCATAGGTGAAAGAAACTACAGGGCATATGGGAATCATGGGCTCGGGCTGCTGCTGCTGAACTCTGAACTCTCACCCGCTGCCTCCCTCCTCTGCCCCGCTCCTCCTCAGCGGAGAACAGACCGCCGCCTCTGGCCGCACTGCGCAGGCGCGCCCGCGCTCGGCACCCTGGGAGCTGTAGTCCCTGCCGCCTTCGCAGCTCAGGCGGGCGCGTGCCGGGGCCTCGGCGGTGCGGGTGTGGGTGCGGGTACCTGGACGCCAGCCGGGAAGGATGGGTCTGGCTTTCTCTCAAGTGGTAGGGACCGCAAGCGGTAGCGCAGCGACAGGGGAGCATGCGAGGAGCGCCTCGCCTGGCCGTAGGGATATCGCGGAGCGTGACCAGAGAGAGTGACGTCTGTTCGCCTTTTCCTCTTTACTTTTCACTCGTTTCCTCCACTTTTGTGTATGCATTTGTTTGCTACCTTTCTGTCCTCCTCGCCCGTTCATTTTTTATCAGAATTTGGGCTGGACTAATTAGGATTTTGCCTTATTTCCCGCATTCCCGCTGCTTTTCTCCAGCCTCTGAAGTGCAGAGGAAGAGAAGGAAGGAGAGAAAGAGAAAAAGAATGCAGAGTGTGCTTTTCTCTTGGACTGAAGACACACCCCAACACCCCTCCTGAACACACCTCTTGCCATACCCTCTCCCCCACCTGCACCCACTCTTTGAGTCATTCAGCGTATATTGAGCCCCCCACAAGGTGTCAGACACCGTTGTGTGTACTGAGGATAGAGCAGGGAACAAAACAAAGCCCCTGTTTACATGGGATTTACGATATTTTAGGAGCGGTCAAGTGTCGACTATAGCCAAAACATAGAAAGTCCGGTGGGTGGTAATTGGAGGTTCAAGAATAAAGCAGGATAAAGAAAATACGGGAGGTGCTACTTTATGTGCAGCGTGGTTAGGACGACCACTTGAGTAGAGCCTTGAAGCTCGGTAGATACCGGGGGAAGGGCACCAAGGGGAAGGGTCCTAACGCAGGAGTGTTCAAGAGCAACAAGGTCCGTCTGTCTGGAGCTGAGTTAGAGGGAGAACAGATCAGAAAAGTGCTTGGTAAAGGTGCCAGATCTTTCTGGTAAAGACAGAACGATACTCTCCTCCGTGCAAGCATTTCATACTTCCCTCTGCTTTCTGTTTCCTCTTTACTTTCTCAGTTCATTTTCAACCATTCTCTTTCCTCTTGCAGTCCCTCTTTCTTTTTCTTTTTTGTTTTTTTTAAGTGACGGTGCCTGGCTCTGTCGCCCAGGCTGGAGTGCAGTGGCACAGTCATAGCTCACTGCGGCCGGGAACTCGTGGTCCCATCCTTCCGCTTCTGCCTTCCAAAGTGCTGGGATTACAGTTCCTCTTCTGATGGACTGTTTTTTCTCACCTTACCTCTTTCCTGCCTTTCATCAATGCATAAGTGCTCCATTTCACCTCTTCCTCACCATCCCCAGGCCCATCCCCCAGGCCCCCTGCTACTCATTTCTCCTAATTGTTGGATATGAGCGGTAAAAAGAAATGCAAAGGGTGAATTAGAGCCCACCTGTGAAATTCGGGGTTTTATCCCACCTTCTTATGCCAGAACAGAAACAATGCCTCAATTCTTATTTTTGCCAACCCTGCTCCCCCACACCTCCTACAAAAGTACAGGTTCTCAGAACCTGATTTGTCCTCTTACTCATTTCACAAAGAGAAAATGTAGAACGTTTGAGAAAAATCAATGTCATTGTTTTTGAGAATACTGATGTCTCCCCAGGCAAAAGTTATTTGTGCTCCAAGTGTGTTGCTAGGAAAAAATATCTCCTACACATAAGATATTAGAACTGTATTTTAAAGGTAATTTGCCTCGAACTTCATTGAGCAATCAAGCCTTAAGACACTGACTGTAACTGCTTTGATGAACCTATTAATTAGTAGGCTATTTGAATAAAACTGGAGAAGAAAAGACAGGTGTTGATCACCTGCCTAAAAAGACCCTGTGTAGGCCGATTTTATGCTTGGTTGCTTGACAGACCTTTGGAAGATGGCATGGTGCTGGCACACCTCAATGAATGAGCATATAACTAGAAAGAGGAAGATATGCCTCTTTGGTGACTGTTCTTAGGAGTCAGAGGAGGTGTGGCAGTAGTGAAAATTGTTTATAACAGCGTTCTCCTCCTCAAAAATGCAGCCTATAGGAAGAGCCTCTACTTGCCCCTGGCTTAGGCTTATTTAAAGAAGGAGTTTTGGTGGGGATTTTGAATCAAGAAGACTTGGGTCTTTTTCCTGGGATTTAGTAGTGGAATAACCTGAACATGTTATTTAACCTTTCTGAGCCTATATGATAGGATTAACATCTACTTCATGGGACTTTGGTGAGGGTTAAATGAGGTAGCATTTATATAAAACAATACCTAGCTTTTTTATGTAAAAAAAACTAGGCTGAATGATGGTGAATCTTTTGTACATCAACCTTCTAGTAAAGTGAATGCACTGTGCAGGTCACTCACCTACAACCAAAAAGGTGGCTTTGCCTTAGGAGAGTACCCAGTCTAGACAACATGGCAGTCTGCAATCCACTGGCCAAAAACCAGAAGATGAGAGACCTGGCTGGAAGCAGCCAATTACAATATGTATTTGTTATCCGTCATGTCCAGAAATGGTTCAAAAGCAAGTCTGATCAAACCCTTCTGTCCTTCCCACCTCTTTCAAGATAAAGCAAAATCCTTCCATGTGGCCTACAAGACTGCATGATCTAGCCTACCTACCTTTTCAGCATCTTCCTCCTTATTCTCTTCATTCCAGCCACCCTGGCCTCCTATTTACCACGCTCCTTCCCACCACAGGACTTTGCATAGTCTCCCTGCCTAGAATGTTCATCCTTCTTCTCCTTACCTGGTTAATCCTCATGCTTGGAGAACTCAACTCAGTCGCCCCCTCCTCAGCCTTCCCTGACCTCCTTGATGGGTCAGACCCTTATTATGCTCTCAGAGCACCAGGTGTCTCTCCTTAGTTGCTCTTGTCATAGCTGTAATCTTATACTTACTGTGTGATTATTTGATTAATATATATTCCTCCCATCAAACTATAAGCTTCGTGAAGGCAGGGTGCCATTATTGGGTATCTTGTGGTAGGTACCCAATAAGTACTCAGAATGAACGAACCAGGCTGTACATAATTTACTCTTTCTTTGATGATTCAAAAGGCAGTTCAAGAACCTGTAGTGCTGCAGGGTCATAATTATGAACCTCAGTTAGGATCTGAAGGCACGTGAGGCAATGTTCCTTGGCAGTCAATTAGCCACAAGGTGGAGCTAGCCTGAGAAAGCCAGCCAAAATATAACGTTAAAATATATAACCAAAAATATAACGTTACCTTCGGTCACACCTTTGGGTCAAGGCCTGGTATCCTGAAAGGCCTTGTTAAAATACAGATAAGTTAGCCAGAAAGTATATCATATAGCTACTCTATACCAAGAAGAGTACAGTGAAGTGAATAACAGCAAGGACTCTGAAGCTGGACCCGTCTAGCTTCAAATCCCACCTCTGTCACTCTCTGCCACAATCTCTCTCTGCCTCATTTTTTCCTCCTCTGTAAATAGAGATGCAAAAGTAGTATCTGCATCAGGGGTTGTTGGTCAGATTAAAGACTTCCTAGATGTAAAGCTCTTAGGTCAGTGACTCGCTCTTTGCAAGCACAATGTAAGTGTGCACTGTTGTTCTAACCACTACCCATTCTTATCACGATTGGAAAATGGGCTAAAGGATGGGCATGTTTTTTGTAGGGGAAGGGGAAGATCAGCCTCACAAGGGCATAAGATGGGAGGTACCTGGATAGACAGGGTGGCAGCATAGAGGGTCATAGAAAGGCCAGGGACAAACTGCTGTTGTTTCATTGTACCTGGGAGCCCCCAAAGGAAGCAAGGAAGCCAGGAAGATCATGTGGAGCCCATGATCCTCTCCTAGGACAGATAACTACAGTCATTGCATTTGGAGCTAATAAATAAAGGAAGGGAAATGAGGCTCCAGCTCTGGTCATGAATCAGACAGGCTGAGACTCCAGGCATTCTGGGACCTCACCAACACAGACAGGTGGTGGTGGGAGGGGATAGCATGTGGAGGGCAACAGAATCAGTCAAGGGAGCTGACGCAGCCATTGGACTGGCTCCTAAGGGCCAAGTGAGGTAGGACAGTGCTCACAGTTCAAGGTAAAGATCTGACCTTGTTCAGGACTTCAGCTGCTGGAGTGTGGCAGTGAAACACCAGGAAGTAAGCCTATCTGCATTCCTTTCTTCCTCCTTTCCCCTTTCCTCCTGGAGGAATCCAAATAGAATGAACTTGTAGGGTGGGTTTGAACTGGGTCCTTGAGGGAGAGATGATGCTAAAGCCATGTAGATCAAGTTCATCTGGCAGGAGCAAGAATATAAATGAAGAGTGGAGGCAAACCACAGGAGAAAACAGATGGATTTAGAATGGGATCAGGATGGAGCAAGGAGGAGGAGTCTGGGGCAATTGCTGTGAACAGCCTTGAGGCATCTGCCACATCCGCCTTGTATGGCCCAAGGGTCCGTGGTCTGAGGGTATGGCATCTACAACCCCCGCCCCCCCCAAAAAACACATACTAGGGGTTTGCCAGTCCCCAAGAGATTTTTAGGAAATTCTAGTCTGGTTCCCAAGATCTGTCTGGGCCACACGCTGGACACCTGGACACTGCTCCAGGGAGGAATCTCATGGTACTGGCAGGAATCCAAAATCCCTTCCACACTTGCTCTGGCCCCTCATCTCAACTGGCAGGGTCAGTCAAGGATGGAGGATGGATGGCAGAGTCTAGGCCAAGAAGAACAGAGCACAGGGTTAATTGGAGGAAAACTGCAATGAGCTTAATAATTTCTATGACATAGAACAGGCCGAAAAAGCAGTTTTCAAGTTCTCAGCAAGGACATAGGATGAGACTGTGTTGAGAGGAAAGCCAGACAATCTTTGCTGGGCACTCAGTCCATCAGCATACACTTGGTGCTGGTCTTTTGAGTATCAGTGGGTATGTTCTATGGACCTTCTTGGGTAGCGTAGAGCCCTTACAGTTACTA